ACCGCTCCTTCCGTGGCGACCCCAACCGTAAAGTCATTTCCTTTGCTACTTCATAACTATAGTTTTGCTGCTGTTATGAATCGTGGTGTAAATATCTGTGTTTTCTGATGATCTTAGGCGACGCCTGTGAAAAAGGGGACACCCTGGGGGGGTCGTGACCCACAGACTGAGAACCGCCAGTACAGGGGGTCTGGGGCCAGCCTGGGTTAGGTGAGACCCTGTCTCAAGCGCAGACAAAAGACGCTAGGTCCCGGAGCATGGCCCGACGACTCACACCTGTGATCCGAGCACTCCGCTGAGGCTGGAGGGCTGCTAGGAGCATAGGACCGACCACAGGGTAAGACCCTGTGTCCCAACAGAAAAGAAACGAGGTTAGGCCAGGCTTGACGGTACACACGTGTGTGCAGGCAGGACTGGGTGGCGTCAGGGTCAAGGCCAGCTGGGTACAGAGGAAATTCATGCCTCGAAAACACAGCCAAGGGCTGGAGAGACACCTCAGCGGTTAGACAGCCTCCTTGTACCCGTGAGGACCTGAGTTTGGATCTCGGCGCCCACGGGACAAGCACAGTCGTGACCACAGAGGAAACCGCTGTCTACCGGTCCAGCTACAAAACACACAACAAACAGGGCCGCCATGTTCCGAGAGACCCTGCCTCAAGAAGCCGGGCCTGGTGGTGCCGCCCGGGACCCCAGCACTCGGGAGGCAGAGGCAGGAGGATATCCGTGAGTTCCAGGCCAGTCTGGTCTACAAAGTGTGTTCCTGGCCAGCCAGGGCTACACAGAGAAACCTTGTCTCAAAAAAAAAAAAAGAATAAGAGAGACAGAGTCAGACGGTACCTGACAGTACAGTGCCCATACACAGACATACCTCTCTCCCTCCCCCCTTCCTTCCTTCCTTCCTTTTGAGGCAGGGTCTCTGTGTGGCCCTGGCTGTCCTGGACTCCCTCTGTAGACCAGGCTGGCCTCGAACTCAGAGCTCCGCCTGCCTCTGCCTCCCGAGCACTGTGCACAGGTGTGCGCCCCACCACCCCTCCCCCACAGCACCAAAGGGAGAAATGTCTCCAACTGTCTCCACCCCAACAGGCTGGGAAGCTGCCTGGCAGCCTGTGGCGACCCCAGCACCTCCTTGTCCCAACGCCCGGCCTCAGTGGGCGTGCCGCCTCCCACCGCCACAAACCTGTCACAGGTGAAGCTGGAGAGGAAGAAGAGCAGGATGTAGATGAAGAAGGTGTAGGCCACAGCAACGATGGTGCCCAGCGGAATCGCCCGGCTGGGGTCCTTCAGCTCCCCTGGAGGACAGGGGCAGAGGGCCAGCCCCGCCCGTCACAGCCAGCCTCTCACGGCGGCACCTGCACCCCCCCTCCCCCGTCACAGCCAGCCTCTCAGAGCGGCACCTGCCGCCCCCCCACCCCATCACAGCCAGCCTCTCAGGGCGGCATCTGCCGCCCCCCCCCCCCCGCGTGGGCCAGCCTCTCAGGGCCACCGCCCCACGAGCGGACTCTCACCCGACATGTTGGCGCCGGCCATGATGCCGGTGCAGCCATTGAAGAGGACAGCGAAGACGCTGGCGAAGGTCATGACGGCGCCTGTGGTGTAGTCCTCAGCGTAGCCAGCTGAGGAGGAAGGCCTCAGGGCTCCTCTTCCTCACCCACACCTCCCGCCACCCCCCACAGCCCAAGCCCCGTGGGGCCGTCACCTCCTCCCCACGCTCTCACAGGCCTTTGCCGCTCCCATCAGAATTCGGTTAGGTCTCGCGTCTCTGCTCAACGAACCCTGAGCAGCCCTTCCTCTCTCTCTCTCTTTGTTTTTCGAGCAGAGTCTCTCTGTGTGGCCCTGGCTGTCTGGGCTCCCTCTGTCGACCAGGCTGGCCTCGAGCTCACAGGGATCGGCCTGCCCCTGCCTCCTGGGTGCTGAGTCCCAGTCCTGTGCCACTCTGGGTGGCGTATGTGGTCAGGAGTGGAGCCCAGGCTCTGAGGGAGCAAGCGTCTGCCGACTGGGCCACCACACAGCCCTGCAGGGCTCCGGGTCTTTACGGCTTATTTGTGTACTCTGCTATGAGTACGTGTGCCAGGTGCACGGAGGCCAGCAAATGTGGTCATGTCCGCTGAAGCTGGGGGCTGCCAGCACGGGCAGCGGCTCTCCTAACTTCTCCTAACTGCTGCGTCTGTCCAGGCCTCCTCCTGGGGTGTGAGGCCCACCTCTCACCCTGGCCCAGCCCTGCAATGTCAGCTCACCGCCCAGGTTGTCCTTCAGAGTGCTGCTGTTGAAGCTGGTGAAGTGCCCGGACCGGGGTGACCCAGCAGAACCGTTGGTGCCGGGTCGGGGAGGCAACAGGACGTTTCTGGGTCCCACGGCCACAAAGCTGACCAGCACGGACGCCAGCGAGCCGGACACCAGCAGGAAGGTGAGGAAGGAGGCGCGGGCGTAGAGGCCGGCGCCCAGCGTGCACACGCCGCCCACCAGGCCCAGCAGGACGGAGCCATAGAGCAGATTCCAGCCGTAGCCCTGAGGCAGAACCCGGAGCGTACTGGAGTCCGTGACATCTGGGAAGGAAGCGGGACGAGCTAAGAGAACGAGCCGAGACTCCCAGCCCGGCTGACTGCCCACCGGCCATTCGCCCACAGCCCTGTTCCGCGTGTGCCCCCGTCCTTGCCCTCCCCGACGGGTACCAGTCCCGCTGCGGCCAGTCACACAGCAGCAGGCTGGTGGCCAGAACCAGGCACCCCGAGTCTCTCCACTTTGCAATGCCTTCGTCACTGGCAAATCCTGCTCGGGAGACTGCCCGAAGAACAAAGGTTGTTTTAAATCTCACAAGACGATGGGTGGCCGGGGTAAACATACCCATGCCAACTGTGACAAGCTGAGGCCAGTGCCCGGGGCACACATGTGCGAAATAAAACAATTCCCACAAGTTGTCTTCTTGACCCCACAGCAAGGCCATGGCTCACACACTCACACACTCACGTATACACACTTATTCATGCGTGCACACACACACACACACACACACACACACAGTCCATAGCTCAGCTGGTAGCCTAAAGGCCTGGAGGACCGTGTGTCGGGCAGGGCAGCTGGGCGCAGGGCGCACGCTTGGAATCCCAGCGCTCAAAACAGAAGTCGGCGCACGCCTGTAACCTGACCACTGGGGGGAGGAGACAGGAGGGCGGGTTCAAGCCTATCTGCTATCTGCAGTCTGGAAACCTGAGCTTTTTCTTCTTTGTTTTGTTAGACAGGGTTTCTCTGTGTGGCCCTGGCTGTCCTGGACTCGCTTTGTAGACCAGGCTGGCCTTGAGCTCACAGAGATCCCCCTGCCTCTGCCTTCCCGGTGCTGGGAATCACAGGTTTGTGTCACCACACCCAGAAAAAAAAAAAAAAAAAAGAATCTAACGTTTTAAGCAGGTTTACATTTTGCGTTGGGAGCATTTCCAGCCATCCTCGGCCACGGGCGGCCACACGCGGCCAGGGGGCTGCAGGCTGGACGTGCCAGGGACGGCGAGAAGCGCTCGGCTGTCTGCATGCCCACACTGGGGGCAGACCATCTCGGGAGACAGGAGTCCCTAACCCAGGCCCTGCAGGCCCCAGCACCACCCAGGACAGGGCGAGGGAGCACGGACCGGCCCCGAAGACATCCAGCACCGACTCCACCAGCCCCAGCAGGGACACGGCACAGCCGCACACGTTAGCAAGGTAGAACATGAGGCCGATGCTGCCGCCGACCTCCGGGCCCAGGGTCCTGCTGATCATGACTGAGAAGCAGAAGCAGGGTGAGCGTTAAGGGAAGAGAAACCGAAACAGAGGAAGGGGCCTCGAGTCGCCTCCACCAGCTCACCTTCCTGCAAACGCCAGCCTGTTCCCGGCACCTCTGTCTGGTGTCTGCGGAGATCGTGACCTGCTTCGCTGCCCCACGCCCGCAAGCTCTCCACCCGAGCCATTACCCCTGCTCTCTTCTTCCTCCTCACTCTCCGAGTTAGACACAAGGTCTCACGGAGCCCTGACTGGCTTCCAGCTCATGAGCTGGAAGCAGATGAGCCCGGACAAGAGGCGTGCGTCACCAGGCCCCGCACTCCCTTGTTTTGAGACAAGCTCTCCACTAGCCGCCCGAGCTGGCTTGGAGCTCGCTTGGAGCTCGCTCTGTAGCCAAGGATAACCTTGGACTTTTAATCCTCCGCCTCCCAGGTCTGGGACGAGGGGCATTTCCACACGGGGCCTCTCCTCTCCTCATCTGTGACTGCCACTGAGCGGTGCTGCCGCTGTTCGAGCGGGAAAGGACTGGGCTGGAACCCCAGCTTCTGCCTGCTGGGCAAGGCTCTACCGCTGAGCTACAGCCAGCCTCCCCTTGACTCACTGACTGCTGAGGACAGCGGCACAGCCGTGACGACAGCACGCCGGCCACCCTTGCCATCTTGTCCAGCTACTCACCATTTCTAACGTCTGGCTTGCTTTCAGACAGGTGGGAGCCCCTTCCCCCCCAGACCCTGAGGACACACCAGCCCAGACGCAGGAGGATACAGTAGGCCCCGCCTCCTCGCACGGCGCCGTTGGTGGCGATGGCACAGACCGACAGGACCGTGAGTGCCAGAATGATGTAGGCGACCAGGAGCATGGCCAGGGCCTGCAGCAGCCCAGCATGGCCCACCACGAAGCCTGAGCAGGGGAGAAAGCAGGTCACGTGGGTCGGGCCACACGGCTCTCCCCCAGCCCCTGGGTGGCAGAGGTCGACAGCAGAGCCACAGGCCAGGCGACACGGGCCTGCTCCTCCCCTCCGTGTGACCACGGTACCGGGGACCGTCCCTAGCCTCTGCCCCTTCCTCCCTTGCTCACCAATCCGCAGGAACACGACTATACTGAACATGGACAGGACAGTGGGCACCACCACGCCCAGGAAGGTGGACAGCTTGCGGGCCGAGGCGGCTCCGGGTCCCCCGGCGCCATTGGGAGGGAGGGTCCCCTCCTCCCCCAGGAGCCGGTAGGCCAGCAGGGGGGAGCTCTCGCTGGCCATGGCTGGGCTGGGCAGGCTGCAGGAGGCTGGGGACCTGTGGAAACGGAGTTTAGTGGCTGGATGGCACGTCCACAGAACCCGTCCCCTAAACCAAGCCCTCATCCGACGTGAGAGCTTCTTCAAAAGGAGAGATGCGAAGGGATGCGCGCGCGCACACGCACACGCACACGCGCACGCACACACACACACACACACACACACACACTCGGGGAGAAGGAAGTCAGGACTGTCCCGGTGTTTGAGTAACCAGGGTCCCTTTCGGCGATCAGGGCCCTGAGGGAGGGGTGGCCGCGGACCCGTGTCGGCGCGCATCTCTCCTTGACTGCAGCAGGAGGAGGAGGGCAGCTCCGGGGGCGGTTAGCGGCCGGGGCGCCGCCTCCTCCCGGGGCTCCTCCCGGGGGCTCCTCCTCAGCGCCCCGGGGTCTCGCCCGCCCCCGCAGCCCTGCCAGGAGCCCGGCGAACGCTGCCCAGCACCCGCAGGCCGCCGGCCCCGAGCCTGCCCGGCCGCGAGCCCGGCCG